AGGGGGCATCCTGACGACTCGAAATCATATAGCAATGTGGGGTCGGAAATGCTTTCCTGAAGCGGTGACGTACACAGAAGCACCATAAAGAAAAGAGACCGTAAGTGAAAAATCGTTTTAATAATACATTGAAAAAAGCATAAGGCACATGGGTCAAAGTAAGTGTTCGAAGTTTCTGCCACAGGCTACAATGCACACCTCACATCTCCGGTGCATGGACTTCCGAACATTCTGCAATACTCCAGGCACATCTCGAATTTCTCCGGCAGCTACTGCGATTCTTGCAACCAGCTCCTCAGCATTGTCAACAGGGGTGTCATAAACCAGTGTTTTCATATGACCCCAGAAATAAAAATCAAGACATGATAGGTCGGGTGACTGAGGAGGCCAACGCACTGGAAAGCTCGGACGGAACTTTCGAACAACGCCATCTACCGCGTCAGGAAAGCATTTCCGACCCCGCATTGCTGTATGACTTCGAGTCGTCAAGATGCCTCCTACCCCTCTTAGAAGTTTATATGAAAGATTTAAATATTTACTTTTTTTCTTCATAAAAGAAATTTCTGTTAAAAGAGAATCAATCCGATGACTGACAATTGTCAAAACAAATCGTCATAAAAACTACAATTACTTTGAAATATAATAACAAAAATATTACAACCCATTAGGTGTCTGGTTTCAAACCGGTATCAAAATAATTGTCACAGTAAAGGGAATGTGTCTCTTTCTAACGTTAATTTCCTTTGGGATTTACGTAATGATGCTAAAGGTAAAAAGTAACTTTTCGTTACGCAATCTCCATTTTTTTCATTTTATTTTTCTTATAATGCTTCCTTTTCTGATTTTGCCATTATTATTATTTCTAATATTTCTACCTGAGTTCAAAACTAAAACTTAACTCTTCTACGCAAAGAAACATCCGGAACTCTTTCATTATGCTTTTAAATTTTTTCTTTTTTAGATTCTTTTGAATAACTTTCTTTGGAATTTTTATAAATTTCTTCGATTTTTATAAATTGTGCTTTTTTTTAATTTTTCAGAAACTTTACAGTTTAAGGTAACTTATACAAATTTCTTACCTTTTAGCTAAGAAAAGGAAGAAAAAAAGAGATAGAGAAAAAACAGATTTCTACTCACTCCTTCTTTTTCTTTTTCTGAATTTTGCTTTTTTATTGCTTTCTTTTTATGTTTTTTCTTCCTCTTTAATTCTTCCATTCTTTTTATTGATTAAATTTTCTTTTTAAAAAGGAAAGAGGAAATGGTGAAAAATGAAGTGAAATTTTAAACATTCTTTTTAGAGATGAATATTTTTTTTCTTCTTTTGACTTTTAAAAATTTCTTTTTTGCGTTCTTTTTAAATTTTATTTAAGATAATGCCCTCCGAGAACTTTTTCTAAATTTTGGTTAAAATTTTTTAAATTATCTCAAAAAATTAATAAGTTTTAAAATTTCACAATTTTGGGCTTTTAAGCTTACAAACTCTAGCCTTTCACCCTTTTTATTGTTTTAATTTATTGTTTTTTACCCTTTCTTTTTGGAATTTTCTCCCTTGTCCCTCAAAAAAAAATTTAAAATTCTAAGGCATTTTCTTTTTCTTAAAACTTTTTCACACTCGCTACTTTATTTAATTTAGGATTCTGACTTTTTTACAGGAGTTCAACATAAGCACAGGCATTATTTGAGTGCAAACACTTTTTTAGATATTGCAAAGAACTTTCATTATTTTATTTTCTTTATTAAAATTTTAAGAAAAAAAGATACATAGGATTCTGAATTTTTTGCTGGAGTTCAACATAAGCACAGACATTATTTAAATACGAACACTTTTTTAGACACTGCAAAAAACTTTTATAATTTATTTTCTTTAGAACTGAAATTCGAAGGAAAAAGGATACTATGACGACTTGAGCACACTTTAAAAGTCGTATAGTACATGTTATGATCTGTACGACTTTCATAGTAATTTTTTTAATACTTTTATTGTAAAGTTCATGTTAATGATTTGAATTAACGACTTGAAATAACTTCTAATAAGCAATCAAATATATTCTATTTAATACCATACTAGCTTAAAAAATTTTAAAATCAGAAAGTATTCTTTTTTAATTTTTTAAAAAAATAACTTAGTTTTTATTAAACAAAATTTATTTTGGCCTAAAATTAGTTTCAAATATTTATCAATAATCAAGTGCTAGTATAATTTAAGAGCTTGCTATATTAAAACCACTAATTACCAAGCTTTTATTTATAGATTTATTAAAATTCGAGAAATCAAGGCTAAAAAACTTGAATTGAGAACAAAAAACAAAAGATTAAAAACATACATTTAAAAACAAAACCTTTAATAAATAACTTTAAACAAATTACTTAAGTATGCAGACAATTCCAGTTAAGATGATTTACTTTTTGTGAGTGGGCTTCTGTATTTTTGCTGCAACTTCGAAAGGTTTTCTAGCATTATCTTATATTTGGTGACAAATTGCTCAGAATAAAACAGTTCAGAACGCGTACTTAAATATAAAAGAATATTTTTTTAAGCTTAATTTTGCAATAATACAAAGGAATATTTTTTGCATAATTTTCATTTTTTAAAAAGGAATTTTTTACTTAATTTTTATTTTTTAAAAAGGAATTTTTAACTTAATTTTTATTTTCTAATACTGTTTTTTTTTTACTTAAACACAAAAATATATTGTAAAAGAATATTTTTTGGCGTAAAGTATTCCTTTTATTTAGTTTTGTTAAGGGCGTTTAAAATAAAAGCGTTAGAAATTAGATAAACTTTGCTCATGTACTGAATATTTATAATGACAGATACCTCTCTTAGTATTAATTTATAATTTTGAAACTCGGTCAGATATTATACATTAATTATATATGAGATAAATTAGTGGACGCTAAAACTTTTACATTTTTATTTCACTGTTATTTCAAAGCAATTTCTTAAAAATGATCAAAGTTGACACAAAATACACATTGTCATTTTTGGTGTAACTTTCAACTCGTATCTTTCAATATTCATTGCCCACATTTTATTAGACGTGTAATAAACATTGCACTTGTACAAAATTTAGACTGTTGCCATGAAACACTTTTAGTTTGTCAATATGGCTTCAATCATTTGTAATCCATCTAAAAATCAAAATGTTGCTGGTATTTTGTCACAAAATTCACTGTGAAATTGTTCTTCTTCCCCCTTTAAACTGGCAAAATGTGTTGCTTTGTAGGACAATCAGGCAATATGCGGTTTTTAAAGTATTAGTTGCTTTTTCTATAAGTACGTTATGTATTTAAAAAAAACATACTAAGTTTCTCGAAACATTAAAACTAGCTACGTTCTTTCAAAATCTGTTAATTAATATTTTAGGAAAGATCACTTCTTATATCGGAAGTATAATCATTCCATGAAAGTTATTTAATATCAGTTTTTGTCAAATTTCAAAACAAATTCATATTTTCGAGTGAATTTTGTATTATTTTAAGTACATTTTTTTTAATATTATGTCCTTAAGACATTGTGAAACCTCAAAACAGGATCTCCCAAGCACTGCAATTAAATTACTCAACAAAAACTACGAAATTATTTTCTCTATTAAGTATTATTTCGTAGTTTAAACTTGAGACGCACTGGAACATTGGTCAAATTAGTTAAATTAGAAATTTTGTAAAGTTCATCTGTGTTGTCGATGGAAGTTAGATGATACTTTCTGAGAATGGCAGAGCAAACAGTTTTCATTTCCAAGAGAGTAAATTTTTGACCTGGAAACAACAAAATAAAATTTTTACACAAGCACATGAAACGTTTACTATTAGTATAGAGTTTTATCTAAAAATAACATCCACTAAATCTATATAAGCATAGCAAAATGTATATACGTATGTGTCTATATATATGTACCATATACCAATCCATTATTCGCAACCGATCCGCACCAAATTTAGTGTATATGTTACTGTGAATGACCGAAATTGGTGGTTCTTGACTTCTACCGGTGAATGTTGACAATCACATAGTCGCTTTGGTAAATTTCCGAAATATAAACTGGATCCAGTTAAGTGCCCTTGCTCGGTATGTATTTGCCCAGTATTATTTCAATGTTCCTTTAAGGTCATGTGCCATTGAACAGTATGCATTTAATCGGTACTCCGAGCACTGATGTTTCTCCTAATATATCCTCAGCAGATATTAAGATATCGAATAAATATAATATTATCAACGAAAAAATTAATATCCAATCGGATATAACAAATATTTCGGTCATTCACCAAAGCGACTATGTGATTGGTTGACATTCTCTTGATTTCGGTCATTCACCAAAGCGACTATATGATTGGCTGACATTCTCTTGATTTCGGTCGTTCACCAAAGCGACTATGTGATTGGCTGACATTCTCTTGATTTCGGTCATTCACCAAAGCGACTATGTGATTGGTTGACATTCTCTTGATTTCGGTCATTCACCAAAGCGACTGTGTGATTGGCTGACATTCTCTTGATTTCGGTCATTCACGGTAACATATACATACGTTCAAAAACGCGGTGCTCCGAACTGTCTGCTTTGAGACTCCCTCTGAGGTTCACGTTGCGGCGGTGCCCTGGCCCTGTAATCTCACCTTTACTTGATGATGCAAAAAAAAGAACTTTTACTTCAACTTGCAGGAGTCACGTAAAACCAGTTTTTCTACAAGCAACCGACGATATCCACATTTTAGCTCGTGGCACGGTCGGTGAAGCATGGCTGTACAATGATCCTAATTTCATTTTTAACTTTCTGTATTTATTTGTAATTAATTATGTTTAAATTAAATTTATTCTTCAAACTTTAATTGGTAATTTGCTTTAATGCTTATAAAAACTCAATTTACCAAAATGGTGACCCTTTTTTCGAACACGCGTTCAACATCAACTCAGGATATGGCGTTTCAACAATTTCAGTAAGTTTATTTTTTAAATTGGTTTCCACTAGGAGTATCACGCGGTAACTTTTATTTTCTTGTGTGGCTTTTTTTTATTTCTTATTACCGTCTAATTTAATAGTTATTTTTACTTCTCACTAAACATGGCATTTTTGTTATAGCAATGTTCGCGTTCATCAATATTTACATTATTTTTAATAATAATCCATAATCAAATTTGTTAACTAAATTCACGACTTATTTGAGAATTTTCTTTTAATTTGTTTAAACATTCCGCAATGCCTAACGAAACTCTAGACGAAAATCAAATTGCTCACGTGGCAGTCAAACCACCTCCGTTTTGGAAATCAAATCCCGCCTTGTGGTTTGTCCGGCTAGAAGCACAATTCACTTTGGCTAAAATTTCCACCGATGATACAAAGTTTAATTACGTACTTGCAGCTGTCGACTCAGATGTTTTAAGTTCGATTAGCGATATTGTTTTAAAACCTCCTAACACTGAGAAATACGAAGCTATCAAAAAACGATTAATTGAGCTGCATTCCGAGAGTGAGGAATCAAAAATTCGGACCCTTCTTCAAGGGCTGGAATTAGGTGACCAGCGACCTTCCCAATTATTAACACGAATGAGAGCACTCGCAGGTGATAATGTGGGCACTCCTCTCTTAAAATCTTTGTGGCTTGGTAGACTCCCTAACAACGTACAAACTATTTTGGCAGCCCTCAATGATGAATTAGACCAGCTAGCTTCAGTTGCTGACAAAATCAATGATCTCACCTCGCATCAACACGTAAACACTGTCGCCGCTGATAAAACGTCTGCACTCGAATTGCAAGTCGCTCAGCTCACTAAACAAGTAAGCGAACTCACTTCTTATGTGAGACAGTCTCGAAACCCGAACAGAGAAAGAAAGAATTCTCAACATCGCAGCAATTCTAGAGCTCGCAGAAAATATAAAGAACCTGAAAACGGATATTGTTTTTATCATACAAATTTTGGTAATCGCGCTAAAAAATGTAATTCTCCATGCAATTACTCGGAAAACTAAACAGGCGATCGCACGAAGGCCATACCGATCGCCACATTAATCGTATTTTATTGGCCGATCAAAAAAGTAACCTTAATTTGCTTATTGATACTGGCGCTGATTTGTCTGTCTTGCCAAAGCGTTATGCATCTGATACTAAAGTTTCTGATGATTTAGTATTATTCGCAGCAAACGGTACTAAAATTTTAACATACGGAACAAAAATTTTAACTTTAGATTTTAACCTTCGTAGGCCATTCACTTGGCGTTTTGTTGTTGCCGATGTTAAACAGCCAATTATTGGTGTCGATTTTCTGAGACATTTCGATTTATTAGTTGATGTAAAAAATAGCCGATTAATCGATAATCTAACTAAACTAACATCACGTGGAAAGATTGCTAATATTGATTTTCCAAGTAGTTTAACTATTCACTTAGGAGACTCAAAATTTGATAGGGTATTGTCCCGCTTTCCGGAATTGACAAACCCATCTCATGCAAATCCTACGCCTACTCCTTCGACCGTTTACCATTTTTTAGAAACTACAGGACCGCCTGTATTTTCAAAGTCAAGGCGTTTATCGCCCGAAATTATGAAAGCGACCAGGGAAGAATTTGATTTTCTTTTAACTCAAGGGATTATAAGACCATCAAAAAGCCCTTGGGCTAGCCCACTACACGTAGTTAGGAAGTCGAATGGTAATTGGCGTCCCTGCGGAGATTACCGAAAACTTAATTCCATAACAGTTCCTGACAGATACCCAGTTCCACATATTCAGGACTGCACTCAATTATTTTACGGTAAGAAGATTTTTTCAACTGTCGATCTCACGAGAGCGTATCATCAAATTCCGGTGAATCCTCCGGATATTCCCAAAACAGCAGTCACCACTCCATTCGGACTATTCGAATACGTTTACATGCCTTTCGGTTTAAAAAACTCTGGTCAAACTTTCCAAAGGTTTATGCACCAAGTTTTAACAGGCTTAGACTTTTGCATACCATACTTTGACGACGTGTTCATAGCTTCAGCTAATGAAGACGAACACATCCAACATCTTCAAGAAATATTTACCCGTTTTTCTCAGTACGGCCTTAAACTTAACCCATCAAAGTGCGTGTTGGGAAAATCATCCGTTAAATTTCTCGGTTGTCTGATTTCTTCAGATGGTGTTCAACCTTTACCTGAAAAAGTACAAGCCATAGTTGATTTCCCCAAACCTGAGACAGTTGTCCAACTTAAACGTTTTCTAGCTATGATAAATTTTTATCGCCGTTTTTTAAAAAATGCCGCAGCCACACAAGCTCCTCTAACTGAATATTTGAGAGATTCGAAGAAAAACGACAAACGCTTGATCCAGTGGACAGGCGCAGCAATTTCGGCATTTGAAAAATGCAAACAAGAATTAGCTAATTTTGCTATTCTTAGTTATCAAACACCTAATCAGCAACTTTCGTTAATGGTAGATGCTTCCGATACCTCTATTGGCGCTGTTTTAAATACTGATACTCCTAGTGGACCAAAGCCCCTCGGTTTCTTTTCCCGTAAACTTTCATTAACTGAAAAAAAATACAGTACCTATGATCGCGAATTACTTGCCATGTATGCAGCTATTAAACACTTTCGCCATAATCTTGAAGCGCAAAATTTCATAATATTTACCGACCATCGTCCCTTAATTTATTCCTTTAAAAAAAATTCAGATTCATGCTCACCGCGCCAGCTTCGACAATTAGATTTTATAGCCCAATTCAGTACTGAAATTCGCCATGTTTCTGGAAGTGATAATGTAGTAGCCGACACACTCTCACGATTAAACTCAATAAAGCTTCCACCAATTGATTTTCTTAAAATCGCTGATGCCCAAAGAGCTGATGAGGAACTAAAGAAACTACTCACTGAATGCGAAAACTCTACAATGACTTTGAAGTTGCAAACTATGAAATTGGACGGCCCATACCCCTTATATTGTGACACCAGCAATGACAGAGTTCGTCCATACGTGCCAAAAGAATTTCGAAAAAGTATTTTTATGTCTCTTCACAATTTGACACATCCTGGAATCCGTGCTTCGAAGAAGCTTGTTCTTTCTCGATTTGTATGGCCATCCATAGCCAAAGATGTTGTAGAATGGTCTCGCTCCTGTGTCAGCTGTCAGAAAAACAAAGTGATCCGACACACACGGTCTCCTCTGCAACCATTTGAGTTACCATCTCGACGGTTCGATCATATCCACATCGACCTTGTCGGACCGCTCCCTCCTTCTGATGGATACCAGTATCTCTTGACGTGCATTGACAGATTCTCAAGGTGGCCTGAAGCTATCCCCATCCCAGAGATTACTGCCGAAACGGTAGCCCGAGCACTCGTGAACAACTGGTTTTCTAGGTTCGGCATTCCTTCTGTAATCACAACAGACCAAGGCCGTCAATTCGAGAGTAGCCTTTTTCTTCAACTGTCTCGAATGATCGGAGCAGCTAGAGTGCGTACAACACCGTACCATCCTTCTAGCAATGGTCTCGTCGAATGCTTTCACAGAGCTCTAAAACAAGGTCTCAAATGCCACCCCAATATAAAATGGACTGAATCCCTTCCCATTGTACTTCTTGGACTAAGATCTGCCGTAAAAGAGGACCTAGGATGCACCAGTGCTGAACTCGTCTATGGAACCCCCCTACGACTACCAGCGGAGTTCTTCGATCCGTCAACTTCAAATGTTGATCCACACGAGTTCCTTCAAAAACTTCGAACCTGCATGTCAGAACTGAAACCAATTCCAACTTCATCACATGCAAACGTAAAAGTTTTCATCCACCCAACTCTTGAATCATGCTCTCATGTGTTTGTGAGACGTGACAGTGTAAAGAAACCCCTTCAAGCTCCTTATGATGGACCATATAGAGTACTCAGTCGTTCAGAAAAAACTTTTTGTCTGGACATTTCTGGAAAAGCTTCAGTGATCAGTGTTGACCGTCTAAAACCGGCTTTCCTCCTCAAAGACATTGAGCGAACTGTGATATCAAAATTACCTCATGCTGCGATAACTCCAACGACCACACAATTTACTGAACCTCCGCAGACAACGACACGATCTGGCCGGAGAGTTCGATTTAATCCCAAATACTTGTAGTATTTGCTGGAGGGGGAGTACTGCGGCGGTGCCCTGGCCCTGTAATCTCAGCTTTACTTGGTGATGCAAAAAAAAGAACTTTTACTTCAACTTGCAGGAGTCACGTAAAACCAGTTTTTCTACAAGCAACCGATATTATGTTATTTAGGCTGGAGTGGAGCTGGACCAGTGGCCAAGTCCTGGGCTATATGGTTAAGGGTTTTCATAACCTAGGTACATGCTCAGGGCTTGGAGGAAAGAAAAAAAAAGCAACCGACGATATCCACATTTTAGCTCGTGGCACGGTCGATGAAGCATGGCTGTACAATGATCCTAATTTCATTTTTAACTTTCTGTATTTATTTGTAATTAATTATGTTTAAATAAAATTTATTCTTCAAACTTTAATTGGTAATTTGCTTTAATGCTTATAAAAAACTCAATTTACCAAAACGTGCTACCTCCCAAAGAAAGAATTTTCCATAGGATTTGACAAAGATTTTATAATATGAATGAATTTGTATCTTGCCGCTCAAATAAATCAAAAATTAGTGTTATCGCAAGTTTTTATGAATTATAACCACAAGCTTCTTATATTGATACTTAAGCCTTTCAAAGCTTTTCACCATAAATTTAAATAATGGAAACTCAACAAAAACTAATAAAATGAAATTGAAGTAATCTCATGAGAAAAGTAATAAGCCATGGTAAATTTTGAATATCATAGGTTAAATTATACTGCATGCGCAGTTAATCTTTCTTTTGGATACCCAAGTCAAAATTTTCGATGTTTTCCATTGATGGACCAAAATACTCTTGATGGTAACCATCAGTAATTCCATCATGAATCATTATAATTTTGATGATAACCCCAATGTAGAAATTCGGACTGATTTATGATGGTCCAACATAAGAATAACAAATAACTGACATCTTTGAAATAGATGTTCCTGTTACGTTATATAAATTGTAAAACAATTGTTGCTGTCGCAGATCAATCCCTTTTGGCTAGATGTCTCAAATAACAATCTCGAACCGGCATCATAGCCCTTTTGCAACCTTAATCGGACCAACGGATGACTTTTCCTGTCACGGTAAACTGCTTCCACTGAGTGGACACCACATTTTTGAAACCACGAGGTCTCTCTATAACAAGTAGCCTGTGATTGACCCGCCTCTATTCTTCCCACTATACACCATCTAGTTGTATCGTTTAGACAATGACAATCAAAGATTCTAACGATAGGTAAACAAAGAAATTTAAAAACAAGGATTGGCTAAGCTGCGATGTTTCAAAACGTCCTTACGCTAAAAGCTTAGGTGAGCAAATAAGGTACTTTTAAACAAACGATTACAGCCCCACTGCCATGCGACGTAACAGGCCACTGCGCGGTTGAGTTGTCCGCAAAGAGTTTAGCTATCATCGGATACCTTATTTGCGTATATTCGTTGCTTATTTTTTTTTTAAGTGTTCTACCATTTGATTGTTTTCATCAATGTACAATTTTAACTAAAATGATTCGCATTTTTACATCACTTGACTTCTAGGTGAGGAGAAATACAGTTGAAACAAGATAAACTTTAAGCTGCAGTCCTTCTCGTGATTTTTAATAACATATTCATTGTTCATTATAAAATGCATACTTAGAATGAATTTTTTTAAACCTCATAAATAGAATCTTATCATGTCTCTAATATTTTTAGTATTCTTTATACTTCCTTACCTATGCAGTTCCTCGGTCCAGCAGAAAATGGTAGATAAGCAAAAGGATGTCTCCCGATGCAGTTTTCAGGAAAAAATCTCGAAGGATCAAACTTTTCAGGATTGGGATAGTAACGTGGATCTCTATGTATTACATAGTTAAAAATTACAACGATGCTTCCTTTCTGAATTGTGTAGTCAACTAAAAAGTAAGCGTAGCCGATACAATGGCAAAGATTATTACAAATCGTAAAACTAACATACAATTGGGATAATTTAAATAAATAAATGCATTCTATAACATTTCCGGTCATGGTTTGTTAATCAATTCTTGATCTTTATGATGTGCTCTATTACCCCTTAAAGTTTTTGTCAATATTTATTTTACACCCAGTATCAGGAATTTTTTTAAATCAAAATGTGTATTTTTCTAAATTTAATAACTAAAGCAAATAAAATGTTTGCTAGGTAACTGACTCAAATATATGAATGTTCCTACTGAAACAGTGGTTCCCAATTTCTTTAGCCTATGGAACAACAAAAGATCACCCTTCTCTTAGTGGAACCCTGACTTCATAAATTATGTTCGTTAACAATTAAGAACATCTTAACTAAAAGTATGCAACAAATTATTTTAAAAATATTTAATACGAAAAATGAATTTTTTTTTAGTGTTTTCAATAATAATTTTATAATTGAATTTTATGTCTAACAGTTTAGTGCGTATGACAGGAGTGGCATCTTGCCAAGTTCTGAATTAGGGTTTTTGGTATATGCAAGTGCTAAAACTGAAACTGAATTATAGTTTTCGTTGAAAGGAAAACTTGAAATAGGTGTTATAAGCATTAAGAATGATTATCAGAAAAATTTAAATTGTAAAGTTCGATGAGAAATATTTTCATTCTATAACCGTCGTTGAACAGCCGACCCAATCTTGGGTTTACGACTACTAACGTTCAACTCCGTAGCCATGTAATTTTGAGCCCAATCCGGAAGACAAGTATTGGGAGAAATTTGTCTTCGTGAAGGACTTTTTTATTTGCGTTACATGGGGAGAAAAACCAAGAGAACCTCTCACGGTTAGCCTGACGGCAAGGGGTCTCTAACCCACGATCCGTCTGCCACTGAGAATATTTAACGTCAGTACTGTGGTCAGTGCGAGAATTCGTAACGATTAGCCATCACTGCGATTCGAACCCGGTTCACCTCATTGGAAGCGAACGAGCCACCACCTTGAGCTACCACGGCTCAAATGCGAAAAATTATTGCAATTTTTAATAAGTCCATATTCTTTTCGTCAATTTAATGTACTGTTGGTTGAATAAACATACATTTTTTAAATTTCGCTACTTTTCTCTACTTTCATGTTACTTAATTACGTTCTCAATAATAACCGAAATGTTAAACAGATGATTGATTAGATATAAATATAAACACAGTCTACAAAAACCTTTGGAACCTTTGTGAATCTTCCACGGATCCCTAGGATTCCATGAGCACCTTTTGGGAACCATAGAACTTAATAAGATATGTTCTAAGAAACTTGGGACAGTTTGCATTTTTTTTTCTTCAAGTTGTTTGCTTTGGGAAAAATACATTACACAGGGTAATGCTTATGTGTTTAAAGTTATTTTTAGATAATAGATCTTACGAGAATTGTTGAAGTTGTAAATTAAGAAGGGAAAAGTATATTATGGCGTACTTTACTGGTAAGCACAAGCAAGGCAGAAGTAAAAGCTATTTTTGTGTTAAAAACACTTACACACTTTAAAGTCTTCGGTAGCTCGTCTCGAAACAAATGAAGCACTATAGAGTCGGAGACCTTCCTGAAAAAAAAATATTTTTATTATATAACTATATTTTTAGATCTGTTACCAATTTTTTCAAAACTTAGTTAGTTTGAGATAACTTAGAACTGAAATATATACAAAAACTGTGAAGAAAAGTAGAGTGCTTTTCTCATTTACAATATATCTATCTTTAACTCTAGATCAGAGTTCGAACAGTCATTAAAATAACCAAGAAGAATAGCCGTTTAGTGTTTAGCAATTTATAAAATATTTCTAAAATATCTTAGTTCCAAATACCTTTTAATTGCGAATTATTTATAAAATTGCAGCTGTTAGAAAGAAAAAGTGTAATTTAATTAAATATGTGCGTGCTATTCTCAAACGATTACCAAGCTTCAATCATAAAGGTGAAAAAATGTTGTTCTAATCTGTGTGAATTAAAAATTACAAAAACTTTGCTCTTTTCATAATATTTCTATATCATTTTTGTTCTAAATAGTTTATATTTTTGAATTTTTCCTAACTCATAGCAGTAAAAATAAAGGGATAATTTAAATCGTGACATGCGTGCTGTTTCAAAACGATAAACAAGTTTCAACCATAATGAAGAAAAGAAGTTATTCTAAACCAGTGTAAATTAAAAAATTATAAAACTTTCCTGTTCTCAAAATATTTCAAAATCATCTTTGTTCTAAATAGTTTACATTTTTGCATTTTTCTTAAGGTTATAGTAGACAGAAAAAAAAGGGAAAAATTAATTCGTCACATGTATGCTGTTCTCAAATAATTACCAAGGATTAACCAAATATTCATAAAATTTCATTCAAGCCGAGGCTAAAAAAGAAAAAACATATTCTGCTCTTACCTTAATTACGCAATCGAGATATTCCATCCGTTTGATGTCTTCTTCGACCAAGTCTCTGTCAGTATTTCCAAATATTTTGTCTTGTTCTTCATGTAATTTTGTCTGCANAGCCTCCTAGTTTAATTAAATGTGTGCGGGCTATTTTCAAATGATCACCAAGCTTCAATTATAAAAGTGAAAAAATGTTGTTCTAATCTGCGTGAATTAAAAATAATAAAAACTTTGCTGTTTTCATAATATTTCTATATCATTTTTGTTCTAAATAGTTTATATTTTTGATACATAAGATCATGGCAGTAAAAATAAAGAGATAATTCAATTCGTGACATACGTGCTGTTCTCAAACGATAACCAAGTTTCAGCCATAAAGGAAAAAACAAGTTTTTCTAAACCAGAGTAAATTAAAAAATTATAAAAACTTTCCTGTTTTCAAAATATTTCAAAATCATCTTTTTTCTAAATAGTTTATATTTTTGTATTTTTCTTAAGCTTATAATTGACAGAAAAAAGCGGAAAAAATTAATTCGTAACATGTATGCTGTTCTCTAATAATTACCAAGGATTAACCAAATATTCACAAAATGTTATTCAAGCCGAGGCTAAAAAAGAAAAAACATATTCTGCTCTTACTTTAATTACGCAATCGAGATATTCCATCCGTTTGATGTCTTCTTCGACCAAGTCTCTGTCAGTATTTCCAAATATTTTGTCTTGTTCTTCATGTAATTTTGTCTGCACCTCTTCGTGTAGACCTATGGAATATAGAACGTAGCTGATAGCGGAACCTAAAGTCTCGGCACCCTAAATTGCAAACAGTAATTTGATAAAAGGAAAACATAATAAATATGTATGCAAAAAAACGTACTTTAGCAAAACATTATTGACGAAATTAAAATGATAAACGCATGTAGTATTCAAAAAATGCTTTCTAATATATGAGGTAACGTTTATAAATACTGTATTTAGTCAACCTTAAAAGGACGCCATACCACGGAAGAAACTTTTAAACGCAAATTCTCTTTAACCTCCGTAGTTAATTTAAAATTTAAAGTATAGAAAAAGTGAGTTCAGACAATCTTGTAATAAGCCATGAAGTTTCATAAACGAAAATTCTTTTTTCCAATGCCCACCTGTGTTAACATCCGTCAATTCAGGCATACACAGGGCGATTTTGTTGGCCTCTCTTTCAGGGGCACCATATTAGGTGGGCCAACGTCGCTCCCACAGTGAGGACAGATAGTACAGAGAAGGAAAGAACATCCCTGCCTTAACCGGGATTCGAACCCAGAACCTTTCTGATGCAAGGATACACGGAAATTAAAATATCCGAATGAAAATAAATTGTGCCAAGATAACTTGAGATTACTCATGGGAGGAGTTTCTTGCAATCATTTGTTTGCATTTTGATGTTTTCAAAAAAAATTTTCAGCAATTGAAACCTCGTGACTTACTCTAGATTTGTCTGAACACACTTTTCCTTTTTTTAAATTTTAAATTAGCAATAGAGCACGATACGGAAATCTCCCCTTTTTAATTCTCACTTTGACCAAAAGAAACGGTTGCTATTAATTTTGACCGGTTAGCATTAATAATAACCGGATTTATCCCTTTAACAGTAACACATATACAAAGAGGCACACCCACATCCCAATGCTGTATAAACCGTTGAATCACATTAAACAAATTTCATTGGTTGTTATTAATAATAAGCGGTTAAAGTGAATAATTTGAGATATTTCTCAATTTGACCAAAAGAAGCGGTTTTTATTAATATTGACAGGTTAGTGTTAATAATAACCGAATTTATTATTATAACCGTAACACATATATCTTGTCAAAATTCTTGTGTGTGATCAAAATATTATATCAGCTGTCAGAGCCGTGTTTCGAAATTTAACTACCCCATTCACAACACACATCAAAGTTGGCTTTTCACTTAAGTAAAACAGAGTAGAATTAAACTGAACAACCAAAAAATAATCATAAAAATTTATTCCAAAGTTATTCTTAATTTTATGACTGACATATTGAGTTTCAATGTTACACAGTTTAAAGCTGGCTTTCAAATAACCCAAAATAAAGAGTGCGGAATTATTCTAAAACGCCGTTTAGAAACTTCTAGCTTGATTCATAAGTTAGAAGTTTCGTATAGTTGAATTTCGAAGTGCGTTTATTGTTGAATTTCAAGTGAAACCCAGGTTAGAGTAAGAGTAATTTCACAATGTAAGTCAGAAAAAAAATTTAATATTTTTCTTCTTATGGAATACTTTCTTTCTTTTTTAAAAGGTAGTTATTTTTAATTAGTTTACAAACTTACTGCTGCAAAAAAGCTAAGAGTTTCATCTAATATATCTTCTTCTGTAAGTGAATTATCTTGGAAATGATGCTCTAACAATAAATCCAAAAAAGCTTTATTTTTAGACTTCAAGAAGAGGTAGTTTCCATTTTCTGTGGTCACACCATTAGAAAAATGTGTGTAACCATTGAGTTTAACGCCATTTTTTGAATTCAGTTGGCCAGAATGGATCATATTTTGCTTTTTAAGTTTTATTACCTAAAAAAGAAAATAATAATTCGCTGTGCAAATCAAAATCATATTTAAAAGATGAAGAGAAAGAATCTTAAAAGAGAATTTTGGGAATATTTTAAGCACTTTAGGTTGACTTTTTACCTTTCTTAAGAAGTTGTGAGCAAGATTGGAGCATGATTCCATTCTCTTGCACAGTGCCGTAAATTTAAAAATTTTATCTGAGAACAACCAGGGTCTAGCGAGGCGTGCAGACAAGCAGGTAGTATAGCTAAGTATGAAAAGAACGCCAATTAACAAAAAATAGCATTTTGTGTAACAAGTGTAAGGATTAATACAAGCCGTGTCCGGAAAGTAAGTATTGTTTTGAAAAAAAACTCATATGAAATTTTTTTTCATTAAAATCTTTTGCATGAAGGAACATTTTGGAAACTATTTTTCTCCGTAGATACCAACGTTTTTCAGACATATATAAAACCACTAATCTATACCCTCTTCAAAAAAGGATACCGAAAGCGGAAGATTTTTGCTTCGCCATTGATCTCAAGCAAAAGAGATTTTAACATTTGTGAGATCTCCTCACAATGCTTTCTTATTGCGAATCGCCTGATTGAGCGTATTTTCTTCTTCACTTTCGAGACCACACCATCATTGCAAACAGATAGCTGCCCACTCAGCGCTTCGTCATAACAATGGATCGTCCATCATTGAATTGTCGAACTGGCTCATTCCACCACTATTCCATAAATTTCTACAAATTGGAGATAAATTTCAGTTGGCTTAACATTCTTTACTTTCAAAACGCATTTCGCAGTCTGGGGGATCGGCAATCGTGCTGAACATTTCGAACTCTCACAAGCTCATGTAAATGCTACACAATCCGGCTCTCAGTTGTTGAGAATCAAGGAAAGACATGTGAACGCATGCGCTGAATGGCGACTCCACCTCTGTGGTGGAGGAAAAACGAAACGATACTTATTTTCCAGACATGACTTGAATTTTTCAACAAAGGCAATTAATTACTGGATATGATGATTAGATAATTGGAGGGTTTTGACTGAAAACATAATCTTAAAATACTCATTATTTATACGAATTCATTGTAAAAATTAACAGCAGTGACATTAGACATGTGAGACAAATTAAGTAACTCTTATGAAGGAATGACGTCCAGCAACCCGGAAAAATACTGCCACTGTTGAGTGGAAAATTTTATAGCAAAATCCACTGCTCGGAAAAATTTCATCAAAGGGTATGCTGTTTGCAAGAAAAAAACTTGTTGAATAAGCTCAGGTACTGCTCAGGTAAAAAAAAAATTTAAAGAATCGATAAAATTCGTGGGAAATTTTATCCAAGAATTCCCTGCGTTAAGATGAAATTTTACCGGAAAATCTAAGTTCAAGATAGTTTTGCATATGTTGTCAAGAAAAATTTTTGTTCGGCAATTAAAAGTTTTAACTGTTACTCTATTGATGCGAAATTTTTTCCAATACTTGCTTAGCAACGAGTTTCCGAAGAAGTTCCCTAGGAAATCAGAAAGTGTCCATTGTAGGTGTCTACCGAATAAAGAATCCAGTTATGTTCAGTCTTAGTGGCTTTAACTTATTATTATTTATTTTACAATTAATAGTTAGCTGAAATAGCCGAGTGTAGTTTAGTGTAAAAAAATTATAGGAAATAATTTGTTCAGTAAAAAATATTTTGTTGGACAAATCTTCAAAACTTATTTAGCTTTTTTTTAATGTATTTAATCCACGCAAAAGAAGTTAATTATAAATCAATTATTTCCTCTTACTTTTAAAGTCTTTCTGAAAGCATTGAAGTCCCTCAAATAATTGAACTAACGTGTATTTGCGAAGAAATTTAAAGAATTTCTTTTACGTAGTAAATGTAAGTGTAGAGTTTTCTTACGTTTCAACTTTAGGAAACTATAGACTTTATGTTTCTTCACAGTCTTAGAATTAATATTTATTAAGAGCTGCACCTAAATACTTACTCGTCCGATGCTTTTAAGCATTCTACGGCCTCTTTATTTTTTACATCGACATCAAAACCAAGTGTAGTCCCTAAATTAAAAAGGGCAAATTAATCTAGTGTACTTAATATAATAATAAAAATATAAACTCTCAGTTGGTCATAAACTCTCAATATATATAGCTTTAATATCAGTAATTTAAATCAAAATGCCTTATGCATCTACTGCAATTTTATTAAAATACTAGCACACACACCTTAAATACACCTTTCAAAATTATGTTGTGCAATAAGATAAATTTTAATGGCAATCCAACCGAAAGCGCAACAAACTTAAATATTCAAATTCTTCTACTCCTCTAATCCTAACAGCTTAATTCTTTTTAAACAATCTTCGTATTAATCAAATTTGTTTCACTGTCTATCTGTTGACCATTAATTTTGCCCGAGTGGAAGTATATTGATTTTAATTTTAATGTCCACGATATTTTCAAAGTTCTTTATTCGGAAATAGGCAACATCTATCTTTCTAGGTAGATTAGGGGGAATACTTTGTTTATCCTGCATAAAACACTCCCAAATTTTTTCCAGCAGCTTTAAAATCTCAATAAAACAATAATCTAGTTAGATTGAGGTTTTAAATTTTTCTCGATTCTTGTAATTTCTTACGAGGAGTGGAGCTGTAGCAAACGCAGAGAGGGTTTAGATAGTGAAACTGCTTCCTCGTTACTAGGATGCATAATATTACGCTTGAACAAATAGTAATCATCTTAAGCAAATCTGCAGTTTCTTGAGTAATCATCTGCGTGTGTAATTTCTCCTGAAAAGTCTTTACACGCTCCTTAACTTTTAAACGAAAACAACTAGATTTATGAACAGTGTCAAGATCACGAAAATTTATTACGTAAAATTCAATAAACCATTTGCAGCACTACCTAGAGGCTATATTCAGAACTAATGTTGTTATATTCTAGCTAGAATGAGATATAAGAAAAAAGTTATTCACGATGATGAAATCATCGCTGATTTAATGTGGGAAAACTTTACTTGTTAAGTAGAATGAATAAGACGCGCATGGTTTCAGGTGTTATTGCTCATCTTGTGATGTCATGAAACGTTTAAAATTAATTTTTTATAGTCTGTCCATGGAAAGAACTTCCTTCGCCATTCGTCTCGAGCAGTGGCGGGGACTATGGTTATCAGCTTTAACTATTTCAATAAGCTGTGAAACATGTAGAGATAGCACGTTTTAACTTGGTTCGGCGAGAGAAAAGGAATCAGAGNATTGGGACCGGATCTAATACCGCATTTATTCCCTTAATTTATTTGCTTAGTTTACGTTTTTGTTATTTTTACGCGTTTCATAATTTACATTCTGAAACGACTACTCGTCTTTACACTTATTGATGTGAAAAAGTTTCGAATGTTCACCCAAAAACTCTGTATTTGACTCTGTATTTTCTTGTCCCTCATACTCTATCCTAACTATTTATTCAACCTCTGAAGTGGTGCCGAAGAATAAGCAAACTTACTTAAAACTTAGAGGCAAACTTACTCAAAAGCATATTCAAGCTACATGTTTTCATGATGAGAAATATATCTACCCATGACTCGTTAGTCACTGTCTGCAGATCAGCGACAAAATTTTTGGCTGTTTCCTGTAGCACGGGGGTAAAATCATGGAGGATTTTTAAATGAAAAGTTGGTGTCAACAGTTTTCGCCGTGTACGCCATTTGTCACCTTTACTAAAAGAAAGGAAAACATTACATTAAATTTAATGTTAAGTGAAAAATTTATTGTGTTAAGTGTAAAAATTGTGTTAAAAGTAAAAAATTACTGCGAATTTTCTGAAAAAAACTATTGTTATGTTTAATATTAATGGTTATATAGGCTCATCTTACTAATACAAGTTTACGAGAGACTTACTTTAACCGAATTAAAGTTTCGCTGAAAATATCCCATACTTCTATGAAATATTGAAGACATGAATAAGGAAGGGAAATTCTATCTAAAAAATTCCTAAATTAATTCAAAATCTAAGAAAATGGGAAATTATGTTATAAATAAGTTTAAGTACAGTCATATTTAATGTAATTTTAGATAAAGTCTCTAAAACCTGAATATTTGAAGAAGAAAAAAATTTTGCATGATTTTTTACAAGCGGATGTATTAGAATTAGTAAAACCAAATGTCGAAGAACTTTACTGTCACCTTTCGTAGGTTGGCTTTGCTTATCTTAATAATCTACGATTATTATCTTTCGTTTTTTGCGGTAAACTTTTTTCTTTAAAGAAAAATATTTTGTCTTATATTGTATTCGATATTATGCATTTATAAATTGATATCGTTCATTTATAAATTGATATCGTTCATTTATAAATTGATTGATAATATCATTATTAGATAAATACATTTAAGATGCAACAGCACACAGCCTCGTACTTAACCGTATCCTGCCAGTTCACTGCTATGGACAAAAATGTTTATTTGGAGGAAGAACAGTACAATTATGTCACTTTTCTGTGTTCCAAACAAAATAAAGATATGGAAATATGAATTAAAGTAAATTCATAATAATGAGTAATTAGATATTTCGGCAATTTGATGAGAATACTTAATGCATACATAAATGGACTATCATTAAGTGTGGAAGGATATTAAGTTTCATTGGTACATTTTATAATTGCTAATTCTGTTGCATTTACCTTACATAATACTAAATTTCATTAAAAACAACGTTTAAAATCACAAATAATAAAATTTCATTAAACCGTATAACGCCTTTTGGTATCACAATGCTACACCCTCATCACTTGAATAAAACATAGGAATGGTAAAACACAAAGATTATTTGACCTGACAGAGGTCATCTCAAACAAGAAAGGAAATGTATCCTATAAAACCCCCCTACAGGAACACGGTTCCCAGCAGCTCACTGAAGTCAGCATCACTGGCTGCGGTCAGTGAGCGGGTGGGTGACCACTTGGATCAGTCTGCGTAAGGACAGAGGATGTGCGGTATTGGTCCTCATTAAACTGTTCTACCGTAAAGTGCTCGACTTCATGTGCAGGTCGTCGGGCTAACGAAGCGGGGGTGCCATCCCCTCTGCGGAGAATCAAATTTGTGATGGCATATCTTCGGATCATCCTCAGGGATGTTTCCCAGACCGTCATCAATATCCCATTGTGCAGCTCTAGTGTGATGTAAATGAACAAATTAAATCAAAATCGAAACAAACAATTTGATGGGCTCCCATTGCCCCAAAATTAGCTTCCAGATACCTAAAATTCTCTCAAAACACAAATTCTATATTATCTTCCCATTGAACAATAAAATATTTTCTTTGTACCTCAAACAGATAATTGAATGCTTCAGTTAAAGGAGAATATGCAAAATTTCTTGCCAATGTGGTACTTTCCAACCAATGTGACAACTTTCATACATAGGACAAACTAAATGATCGCTCAGGTATCAGCTCAAAGAGCATCAAAAACCAATCGAGAACTCCAACGTTCATCCACCATAAAACATTGCTTATAAATAGGTTCGATTTTTTTTTTCTTGCCTCATTTCATCCATAAATGTATCTCATGTGTTGACTTGGGTTTTGAGGAAAATTCCTTCATCATCAAAATGAAAAACTCTATTTTAATGACCTTAGTCATATACCATACTTGTTAAATATTTAGAGCTCATAAATTTTTTCATTTTCTGCCAATTTGTCTATTAGCTGAATTCTCTATTTGGTATGACGTAACCTTTGTCGGATCAAATCATCTCTGTTTTTCGCCGTTCCTGTCTTTTATCCTACAGATGATAGTGCATCATTATTACACCGAAACAGGTATAGGTTTTAATAAAATTGTACTATTTGTGATTTTAATCGTTATTTTTAATGAAATTTAGTTTCCTCACAAAGGATTGCTCTTGTAATTCTATATTTAATACTATACAAAAGTATTTATATTGTTGAGCTTAAAGAATTGAAAAGAATACAATAATAACATAACATGTTTAATAATATATAATATATTGTAATATTGACAATATTAGTGCTTTACACTACACTTTAAGAGCAATTCATAAGTATGAAAGAAAACAACTTTGTGATGACTGGTGCTTGATTTTTTTTAAAAACATGATGATTCAAAATAAACATTGCAAATATGATCCAAAATACATGCTAGTCACATATCATAAAATGGAAAATGCATACCTCAAAAAAAGACCATCTCTTAATATTGACCGAAAACCTTCATAGTCATCTGATTTTTCAATAATTTTCGTGCTTGACAGAACAACCTAGGAAATTTTTTATTTCACTGAGAGTTCAAGCAATTCAAATTAGATTCTACTTCTTTATGCGGATACTTTTCTAAATATAACAGAATAATTAATATATCTAAGGTATACTATTATACTTCGATTTTACATCAATTATCCGAAGTAATTGGGACCGGATCTAATTCAAATATACGGAATATTGAGTTGTATTATCGTTTGCATCAATAAGCTCTGAAGAAACCCCCATTAAAAATAGTTCTATAAACTATTTAAATTTATTTTTAAAAAACACTCTTGTCAAGTAAGTATAAAGATATTTTGACTCAAACTTACCTTGCTCTTTTGACCCAGTTAGCGATACTAATTTTCTCTTCTTTAAAACAACCCATTTGTACCAGCATACATTGAACCCAGCACCTAATTCTGAATCGTTACCTGATTTTTCATTGGTTCACCAAACTGATTTCATTAATTTATAATTCTTTCCAACTTTGTGAGATTTTTACCCACTTGCACTAAAATATTACACCTTTCTTGGGCACATAATGTATTACGATCCATTTTAAAAGATGTAGAACTCACGCCTTTAAAAATAAACTATAATGATGAAAAAAATACAGATTTAACATAAAAGTACCATAATTTATTGATTAAACATATATAGATGATTAAACATAAAAAAAAACAATGATTAATATTTCATCAACAAAACCAACTAACGAAGCGTCTATTTGCTTTTTATACAAAATTACAAGGTTATGCTGCGTAAATAAAGTTTTATTTTATGGAGACCTTGTCTAATGATTGACTTTGGACAACCTATTATTGAGATTGTGAAAACATACCAAAAAAAAACTTGGTGCACACGGAAGAAAAATTTAAAACAATCCGAATACCCTGTTACAGAGGTATCTGGGTGAAAGAATTATTTCTATTGTTATTATTAATTTATATTATAATATTATATTATGTTATAATTATATTATATTATATTATATTATAAAATATTACATTACATTACATTACATTACATTACGTTACGTTACGTTGCGTCACGTCACGTCACATTACATTACATTATATTCAGAATAAGACACAAATACATAAACAATGGAAATCGAAGAAAATGTATAATACATAAAATTCCAAACAGCGACAGTGTCGAGCTGCTAATGTCAAAGCTGAAAGATTATTTGAAGATAAATATTTTAAGATGAAATAAAATAAGTTATTACATCGTAAGAGAATTAAAAGTATCAGCACTTCAGAAGAAAACCAAAATCATTAACACGAAATGACTAAGTAAATAATAAAGCACTACTGGAAATAGCAACCTAACTAACAAAAAGGAAAAATATTAAATAAGAAATTAAAGTGGAAGCACTGGTATAACTGACGGCATCGTGAGGGGGACTTTACCATGCTGCCAGTGCGGAAGCAGTTTCAGCGGTTGGTGTTATATTACCACTAACAATCATACCCCCTACTACCCGAAGAAAAAAAACAAAATAAACCAACAGCAAGTTAGATGAAGACTATATACTGTAATATAAAGAAGAAATCGAAGTTGAAGTGCATAAAGTCACCAGATAGGAAACAAAACTTATCGAATGAACTTTAAAAGTTAAAGGTTCGAACATCAAACAAGTATGTGGATTCGAGAATGTGTAAGAAGATGAAGGAAAAAAAATAAAAATAAATGAATAAAATATATAAATAAAATAAAAATAAACTTTATTAACATTAAATTTAATAAATTAACCTTAATGAAACGATTTTAAACATATGTTTGATATGATTGGAAAGAACTGCAAATTTTTATTTTGAATTTTTTGTTATCACTTTTGGAAACATTGAACTTTTTAGTCTGCAGTGCTTGAGGATAGGTTGAAAGTGAAACTAAGGAACTATTTCTAAATAAACGTTGACAAAATAACTTATCTGATATATGCAATGAAACAATTATAATTTTTATGTATGATATATACGAACAATACATAGATATGTTGTGAGTATTTATTTGCATTTTTAATACATTAATCAAAAATTTTAATTTTTAATTTTTTGTTATTGATATTTTATTTCAGTTATGTAAATATTCAAAGTCTGCGGTATTCGAAATAGAGTTGTAAATAAAATATAGAAATTTTTTCAAACTTAACAAATGATTGCAAAAGAACTACAGTAAAATTTGTACGCATTAAAATAAATACATTTTTATTGTATGCATTAAAATATCACTCATATAAAAAGTATTTTTATTTCATTTAAATAAATAAATAAATAAAAAAATAAATAATCAGGAAGACATTTTTAAAAAGTAAAAATGATCGTAACGTTACATCTTTGCTTTTTGTTTATTTTTAGTATTCATTAAACGCAAGCTTCGCTTTCTCCTAACTTTCCCTTTCATATTCATTATAAAGAGAAAAAAAAAGAACTATTCTTCAATTGTTTCATTGTGTTAGTAAATGAATGCATACTTTTAAATATGTTCTCTCACGCAACAACGATTTAAATTTTTTTTTTATTGCTCTTCACAATCATATTAGTAAATAAAAGATGTTTTCTTGTTTGCTCTTTAATAAATCCAAGTAACTAAATACGAAGAAGATATTTTATTTATTTTTAGATTATTAAAATATTAACATTATTATGCTTTTGAATTATGATGATTGATTAAATTAATTATTGTTTTCAGTGAATACAATAAACAATTCTTAGATATAATGTTAGGCGATGGAATATAAATCATATTATTTTACTTTTTAATTTTACGCATAATAATTTATTTGGAAATGTAGGGATACGAGTTTTTAATGCTTATTGTACTTCAGTTGGCATTAGACGAAGTTAAACGAAATTAATAGAAAACTAATTAAATATTTGTGTGCCATTTATCTGATGATATATACTCTCAATTTTCTGAGAAAAATTCAACTCAATTATTAAAGCATTAGTCATTAATTCCGCTTAAACATGAAAACGTTTGTCTTATTTTTTTAGTTGACTCTAAATCTGAACAAGAAAATANGCAATGTTAGCCGCTCTTGCTAAATAAAAGGCGCACACTACTGACTTAATTCGCAAGGCCAATGGATGGTGAAGTTGGCTTGTCCAAGTGTCATTAAAAACAACAGCAATATTCTTTATTGTAATGTTCGGAGTTGAATATTGGTAGTCATAAACTCAGAATAAGGTCGGCTGTTCAACGCCAGTTATAAAGTAAAATAAAATTTTTGTTATAGCCCAGAATATTTGTTATATTCACTGAAAAATGAGTATTAATCGTGCTGTTTTGCTTTTTAAAATCTTAATAAATGCTCAGTGTCTGTAAGTTCTTCAATTGCGTGTCATTTATTTCAATTTAACTTCCTAACAGGTAAGTCATTAGACAGATATACAATGATAGCTCAAAATTCTGAAATTTATACTTGATTTTTAAATGTGAATCTTTAAAAGTAATTGTTTTTTTAAAGGCATAATTATTGTTTTGCATATGCAAATTTCTCTTTTGCTTGTCATTTATTTCAATTTAAAAAATTTTTTAATACAATAACTTATTATTGAAAAAAAAATTTACGAGGAATTAGTTTGAAAGATTTTAATAATTCATTTAAATTCTAAAGATTTTACGCTAGAACACATTTTAAATGGGTTTTATTTAGTAGCTTGCATGGTTTGAGAAGGAAACCATTGCAAAATAATCATCGAGGTTCTAGGAGCGTCAGTGAGCAGTTCGAAGAGCTCACTAGCTCCAAAATAAAAGCTTTAAACTAAAAGTAGTGCTCCTTCACTATTAAGCAATCAGATTATATTACTAAATTGCTCAACAATTTTATTATAGACATATTAAAAATGTCATATAACTTATCAACCATTTTGCAATTTTTAAGCAGAAATTAAGTAGAGAATAATTAAGAAGAAATTTAAAAAAAACCTCTTTTTTTTAAATAGGCTTAATGTGAAACCATTGCCACTCAACATATGTATTTAAAATGTTGAGGAGTAAATCCTAAAATATCATTACATAGTTAAATTACTGTTGCTACATATTGATGCGTTACTGTTACTAAATAATTTCTTACGGGAAAAAGGACTAACAATTCTTCCCAGCTTCCGAAAATTAAATGAAATCATGGAAAATAAAACTATAAATTAAGTTGCAATGTTAGCCGAGCAAAATTAGGTCAAAATTTTATTCCAATGAACTTGGGAACTGAATCCGTGCTAATGCGATAAAAATGTCGGAATCTTTTAATTTTCAATAAATTTTAATTTTGATATAAAAATTCGTTTATCGTGAAAAAGTAAAAATAATTGCATTTATATAATTGATATAAAAGGGGTAGGTGAGAGAAGGAGGTGAACACATAAAAGTATTCAGGTAAAACAAATTTTGTTCATACAGTTCCTTTCACCTGTTTTAATTTAAAGGGGAAGAAAAAGCTTAATCGTGCAGTTAATTAAAACAAAGGACTTACATATTTTTGATAGAACGAAGGCTTGTTTTGAAATCTTGTAAATAGTTGTCACCATTGGATACCAAATAAAGGGCATTGTCCTGTATCCAGGTCGGTAATCAGCTTTAAATAGGTGGTGAAAAAAAATGGAAATTAAAAGGAGACCTAATGTTAAAGTGATCAATAACGTACTTAAGATGTCACCGAATGAATAGTCCTAAAAAAAGAGAAAACACTAATTTCATAAAAATGAATTTACACATTTTACATATTTATAAAACTAACAAACGGTAAAAAAACGGATAACTTTGAAATACACATTTTATTTACAGTTACATCTTATTTGAGATTTGATAATATTCTACAAAAATAATTAAGGCGTTGAAAACATATTTAATCTAATGATTGGATTTTTTAATCACTAAAGTTGAGATTGGATAACTTTTCCTTCAGTTTGCGATCAAATTACACAATGAAATATCTTTAAAGAAATTTCAATCTAATGCTTTAGTTTTTAACCACTTTAGTACAAGAATTGGAATTAGTGAAAAAAAATTTCAGTTCAGGTATACTGTTTTCTAGAAGAATTTCAGTTTAATAGTTGCATTTTTAACCATTAAAAGTTTTTTTTAAAAAATGCTGAAAATGTAATTTTTCAAATTTTTTTTTAGATATCTAACATAGTGTCCGGGAAAAAGTTTTATTTTCAAGAAGGAAATTGATAGTGCAGAATTTCTGTTGAAAATGTTAGAGTATTTATCATTAGTTGAAGAAGGCAGTAATTAGTAAAATATTTTCCTGTAGGTGATGATTAACATTAATCATCATGAATGTTGATGAATCATTGTGGGCGATTACCATAATCCATTCGTCCAATTATTTTATTGTCCAGAGTGTGAAGATATTCAACAAATAGGAATTGCTTTAATGAAGATTTAAATTCGATAAATAATCAAAATATTTTTCGATTCGATAAATATATGCTCTTGTGCTAGGCAGCTGTAGAGGGAATCTCTAAAAATAGATTTTATTCTGCACTTAATTCACGGTTTTGGTATAAAAATATTACAGTTATGTTAATGATTTCTATTTATTGAA